GAGATCACCCCGGGGCGGTTTGTGAAAGGCCTAACCTGGCCTGTTTTTTTTAGCCGCTAGTCTGAGGCACAAACAGAAGATAGAGAATAGAAGATCTCACCAGTCTGGACCTGGACGGTCCGGCTGCTCTGCAGACCCCCAGCCTCTGTCGCCACGGTGACGTTGTATTCCCGCCCAGGTGTCAGGTGGAGCAGCGTGTGTTGTGTGGCTGTGCTCTCCAGAGTGTCATTCACCAACAGACCAGCAGGGCTCTCTGAAACAACAACACATCTAGAAGAAAATCGAAGAAACAAATCACGGTGTGATGTTTGTGGACGCTGGACCAACCAGAATCTTCTGGAGCGCCGCCTCGTTCCCACAGCTGGAGTCGGAAGCGCTCGGTTCTGCCGGGACCTGCCTGCCAGGAGACATGGAGGCTGCAGCAGGTCCTGGAGGAGACCAGCAGGTCAGTCACAGCTGAAGGTCCTGACAGGAGGACAGGACAGAGATGGTCACCGAGATGGTCACCGAGACAACAGGTCAAACAGTCGTAGCCCGCGTGGGAGCCACGTCTGGGCCGCGGACAGTGACTCCACCCAGGACCCAGATCTAAGACCAAGGTTTCTGACTTTGATGTCATGTGACCACAAAGACGCACAAACATCACAGCACGAGCCGTCGAGAAGGTTAACAGTGGGGTCGACTGAGTACAGTAACACACACACACACACACACACACACACACACACACACACACACACACACACCCTTTCCCTGTGAACAAAGAAACAATGGAGGCAGGAAGTGGCCCCGGCCCACGATGGAAATACACATGAGGTTCAACTTCTGTTCTGGTCCTTGGCCAGTGTTTTCACACACACACACACACACACACACACACACTCGGCTGCAGTTCCTGTAGTTAATCACAGCAGCAGCAGAGAGGAAGTGGAACGACAACGAATGACGACCACTGCACCAAAGACACAGGAGAGACAAGGAGGTCACGACCCCTCAGACGACCGGTCCACAGGGAAGAGCTGGGGAAGAAGAGCTGAGGAAGAAGAGATGAAGATAAAGAACTGAATATGAAGAGCTGAGGAGGAAGAGCCAAGGAAGAAGAGCCGAGGAAGAAGAGCTGAAGATGAAGAGATGAGGATGAAGAGCTGAGGATGAAGGGCTGAAGATGAAGAGATGAGGATGAAGAGCTGATGATGAAGAGCTGAGGAGGAAGAGCCAAGGAAGAAGAACTGAAGATGAAGAGCTAAGGAAGAAGAGCCGAGGAAGAAGAGCTGAAGATAATATGGGCATTTTCCACAGGTCACATGATCAACTATTTATAAAAGATAAACCATCAGTTTTTTGTTTTTTTTAAACCATCAGTTTTTTGTTTTTTTTAAACCATCAGTTTTTTGAGGATGAAGGGCTGAAGATGAAGAGATGAGGATGAAGAGCTGATGATGAAGAGCTGAGGATGAAGAGCCAAGGAAGAAGAGCTGAAGACGAAGAGCTGAAGATGAAGAGATGAGGATGAAGAGCTGATGATGAAGAGCTGAAGATAATATGGGCATTTTCCACAGGTCACATGATCAACTATTTATAAAAGATAAACCATCAGTTTTTTGAGGATGAAGGGCTGAAGATGAAGAGCGGAGGAAGAAGAGCTGAGGAAGAAGAGCTGAGGAAGAAGAGCTGAAGACGAAGAGCTGAAGATGAAGAGATGAGGATGAAGAGCTGAGGAGGAAGAGCCAAGGAAGAAGAGCCAAGGAAGAAGAACTGAAGATGAAGAGCTGAAGATAATATGGGCATTTTCCACAGGTCACATGATCAACTATTTATAAAAGATAAACCATCAGTTTTTTGTTTTTTTTAAACCATCAGTTTTTTGAGGATGAAGGGCTGAGGATGAAGAGCTGATGATGAAGAGCTGAAGATAATATGGGCATTTTCCACAGGTCACATGATCAACTATTTATAAAAGATAAACCATCAGTTTTTTGTTTTTTTTAAACCATCAGTTTTTTGAGGATGAAGGGCTGAAGATGAAGAGATGAGGATGAAGAGCTGAGAATGAAGAACTGAAGATGAAGAGCTGATGATGAAGAGCTGAGGAGGAAGAGCCAAGGAAGAAGAGCTGAGGAAGAAGAGATGAAGATAAAGAACTGAATATGAAGAGCTGAGGAAGAGGAGCTGAAGAAGAGGAGCTGAGGAAGAAGAGCTGAGGAAGAGGAGCTGAAGAAGAGGAGCTGAGGAAGAAGAGCTGAAGATAATATGGGCATTTTCCACAGGTCACATGATCAACTATTTATAAAAGATAAACCATCAGTTTTTTGTTTTTTTTAAACCATCAGTTTTTTGAGGATGAAGAGCTGAGGATGAAGAGCTGAAGATGAAGAGCTGAAGATGAAGAGCTGAAGATGAAGAGCTGAGGATGAAGAGCTGAGGATAATATGGGCATTTTCAACAGGTCACATGATCAACTATTTATAAAAGATAAACCATCAGTTTTTTGTTTTTTGGTTAATGTTCTGTTAAAAGAGTACCGTCAGAACCGTTTACTACAAAGTTCTACTCTGATGTGTATTTATGTGTAAAAACATCTGGACAAGTAGACTGGGAGCCCGTAGGACTGGGTCCAGGTGAAGACCTACTGGTGTGGCAGCTGATGTTTTTCAGCTGCTGGTCCGTCTGGGAGCGGACCTGGAGCTGGTACCATGTGCCCGCCTCCAGGTGGTGTAAGACGCAGGTGAACTCTTCTTCTTCTTCTCTCTCCTTCCTGCCTTCCTCCACTGACAGCTGGAGCGGTTCCAGGGAGTTTGATCCTACTTCCTCCGCCTTGTCTTCTCGCCCTCCACCTCCGTCCTCATTTGCCCCCGCCTCTACGTTGCTGCCCCGCCCCTTTCTACAATCCGTTTGCTCGGTCCCATTATCCAGGGATGTTAGGATGAAGGAACAGTTTCTTCCAGATGTCCTGATCCTGACGGTTATAGATTCTGAACTGGACACAGATGCTGCATGGAGCCACCAACTGGTCGTCCGGGGGTACTGCTCCTCTCACATCCTGACAAAGAAACAACACAAACGTCACGGCAGCGGCAGACACAGGAAGTCGAGGACCATGTGACCACATGTTTGATTGACAGCAGGGTCGGATCCTGAACAACTTCAAAGAACTCCAACCTGTGGGCGGAGCTACACTTGATTCAACTGACATGGAAACATGGGTCGATCCTGTCTTGGAAATATTTAATGAAAAAAGTTCAAATAAAATTCAAAATGAGAGAAAAAGAATATTTTCTAAAAGTAAATAATCGTTAGTCAAAAATAACCTAGGGTTTGGGGTCAAAGAAAATTCAATTTGAACTTTTCCTAAACGTCCTGAAATGTAGGAATGTTGAATCATGGCTGACAGTTCAGGGTGACGGCGGCGAGGGAGCGGGGGGTTCAAACGACACAGCGTTCTGACGACATAGAACATGTTAGAACCACGAGTTGGGACTGACCTGAGGTGGCAGCAGCAGCAGCAGCAGCAGCAGCAGCAGCAGCAGCAGTGATGTGACCCGTTGTGACGTGACCCACATGGAGCCCAGATATCGACTCACTTTACTTTTCAACATTTTGGTCCCACTTCAGATCTTCAGCCCAGTCCACCATAATCCTGCGGCTGTGATGCAGGAGGACGTCCAGTGGATGGCGGTGTCTCTGACAGGAAGTCCTTTTGGAAAAGTCAAGTCCAACCAGTCAAGAGTCGCTTCTCTTTCACATAATTCCTTCTTCAAGTGGATGAGACGATATTCCCGTCCTCTCTCCGTCTTATGGTCCTCCTCCACAGCGACTCCCAAAGACTGCGGGCTTTTCCTGTCCGTCCCCAGGACT